CTTCGAAGCATCTGCTCAAAACAGTCCAACATAAATGTCGCCACTCATCTTCTTCGTATGAAAATATAAGTTTTCCTTTCAATTGCTTTGCTTTAAAAACAGTCATTAGGTTGTTGAAGAGTTAGCCTGCAAGTTCCAACGAAAAAGCCCCCGATGCTTTCAAAAACCAATGAATCACAATGCTGTAAACCTCAACATCCTTAGAAATTGTAAGCAAAACATCGAAAAGCAAAATTTGCGGGAAAAAGCTCACGAGCCCGCACTATTTTCATGCAGCGTCGACAAAAGTCCACCCTGTTCCCAAGGAAACGAAAGTATTAGCGAAGTCTAAAGTTCATCAATGATCGCGGGCGTGTGTGACCAACGATGTTGAGTGGGTGGTCATCCTCACTTAATACCTGTATATTGTTTGGTCTCCATAGTTGAGGGGTGCAGAGAGAAGGCAGAATATACGTATGCAGAGGGTAAACCCGAATTATTTGTCCACCAGCAAATTCCATCTGAATTCGATTGACTTTATATTGAAGGTTTTTTCCGCAAAAATAATGACGCTTGCGTTGCAAGCGGTAGCTCTCAAAAAAATTATGGTGATGCTTAAAATTATGATGGTGATCATTGCCTGATCATTAATGGTGATGATGATCATTAATGTCGATGGTGATGATTATGACCATTATTAATGATCATGATCATTAATGATGATCATTAATCATTAATGATGATCATTAATCATTAATTATTAATCAGTAATGATGATCATTAATGATGATGATGATCATTGTGGATCATTGATTGATCCTATTGCCAGTATTAAAGGTTTTCCGCAAAAATAATGATGCTTGGGTTCTAAGCGGTAGCTCTGAAAAAAAAAGGTAACGGTGGTTTAACAAAAAGAGCTGTAGTTTGCAAAATTTTAAAAATCTCCGCATTTTATACGGGAAGGTTAGTTCGCTGACCTCAGAATGACATTTCGTCAAAACTTTTTTCTTCAAGGTTGGTTTAGAAACAAACTTGGAATAAGGTTAGGGTTAGGATTAGGGTCAGAGTTTGTGTTTGGAATAGGGTTAGTGTTAGTAAAACCGTTGCTTTGTTACGTTTGGTCACTCTGAGGCCAGCGAAACGACCTCTTCCATTCTACACTTGGCTCAGACATCAAGGCCTGCAACTTTCATGCTGAAAGCAATTGTTGACCATGAACCGTTAAATCGTGAAAGCTATAATGCTCTTCCATCATACTTAATGTACATAGCTATATAAATATGAATTTGACATTTGGTTATTATAACATGCTGTATAGTTGTTTTGCCATTGTGGGTATATTATTAGTATATGGCTTAAAACCGTTTTAAATTATATATGATTATATACAAGATGTAAATCCGCTACAAGTGCAAGTTTAGATTAAATCTAGTGCTACTAATATCCCAATTGCTGTTCCTGGTTAAAAGCTGAATAGTTTACATAGAGAATAATACAGGGTGCGCGGAATATATTTTATATAATAAGCAGAAAAATACATGGGTGCTTGGAAATACCAGATTTATTTCTCGTGTTGAACATGATATCTCACTCGTTCGCTGCGCTCACTATAAGATATCATGTTCAACACTCGAAATAAATCTGGTATTTCCAAGCACCCATGTATTTTTCTGTTTATTATATAAAGAACAATCTTTGAAAAGCGATAATTTTTACAGAAAAGCGATAATTGAAAAGCGATAATTGAAAAGCGATAATTTCCACATGTGAGATTATCATGAATAATCTCACATGTGAGATTAATCACTTTTATCAGTGCTCGAAGTACTATTTAAAAAACGAGCAGGAGTGTTTTATTAGGTTTAAAGCCACGAGCGCGCAGCGCGAGTGGCTTTAGACCTAATAAAACACGACCCGCGAGTTTTTTGAATGACTTCAAAAACGTATGCATAATAAGTCAAATCTTTATATAAAAATCTTTATATAAAAATCTTATATAAAAATCTTTATATAAAAATCTTTATATAGTTTGCATAACAATGGTCTTTTGTTAAAGTGTTCTTTAGCTGGTATAAAGACGTATGCACGTGACTAATTTCTTACTCAAGATTGGATAATTGCTTCATGAATTATTAATGAGTTTTTGAAATCTCTTTAAAAAACTCATTAATAATTCAAGAGGAAAACACAAAGAAAAATCATAAGCGTGTCGTATCTTTATATGTGATAAAAAATCATGTTAATTTACATAAACTTTAGCTTTGATTTTTATATAAAGATTTTTATATAAAGATTTTTATATAAAGATTTTTATATAAAGATTTTTATATAAAGATTTTAATATAAAGATTTTTATATAAAGATTTGACTCATTATGCAAATGTTTTTGAAGTCATTAAACCTAATAAAACACTCCTGCTCGTTTTTTAAAGAGTACATAAAGCACTATACTTTATATAATAAAAGTCGATAAATTCTAATGTATACCAATGCAAAATGTTGTACCATAAAATCTAATACCCAGTTCTAAGCAGTAACGGACGTTTCGAAATTTCCTTTAGCTTCGTTCTAAACAAACCGAGTCATCATCAATATTCTTCAACTCGTTAGGTATAAAAGAGTTAGTTCATTATTTTTAACTTAGCTAACTTTGTTTTGGCCAGAGAAAGCTTATAATACCAGTGTCGGACAACCTCGTGTTTACATCAATGGGAATCCCGCGAAAAAGCAAATAAAACAAATAAATCTTGTGGCCAAGATGATTTTAGAATATTAAATACCAGAAGAATTTTTCTCATTTTTGTAATGTTATGACTACAGTAGATATCCGTTTCAATTGACGAAATAATTCAATAGAAGGGCCATCCTTTTTTTATCCGGTATTAATAAATTAGCTTTACAGAATATTAGTTTTATAGTACAGTATATTTTTCTTATTTCCCTTTATCTGCAGTAATCTATTTTTTACTCATGCACGACTCTCAGGAAGAGAGATTTAAATCTGCTACAAGTGCAAGTTTAGATCTAATTTAGACTTATTTAGTGCTACTAATATCCCAATTGCTATTCCTAAGTTGACAACATTAAAAATTTAATAGTTTACAAGTCGATAGATTCTATATAAATATAATATACTCAGTACTACAATAAATACAATATACTCAGTACCACATGCAGTCGAACTTTTTCAACAATAAAGCCACTATTTCAAACTAACCAAACAGTATTAAATTGATACGATCAATAATTGTCTACAAACTTTCTTTACGATCGTTTATTCGAATGATTTATTCTGGCCGTTGTCGTTGCGTTCCCCTCCTACATCGGAAGGTCTCTATTGGTCAAACCGATACGTAACCACGGTTATTCTGGTAATCATTGAGGCCATCCTGTACTACTTAGTATGAGAATTTCCATACTGTTCCGTTGTCAGCAACGATATACGTGTGTGTATCCCCAATAGTAACATGTTTAAATGGGTGTGGTATAACTTCTTTCCAATTTTTGGTACCCCATGGTAACTTCCAACATATTCCGTTAAGCCTGTACAGAGTGTGATTCATGGAGATAGCGTATACAGCGCCTGTTGCACCTGAGTCTAACTGTGCCATGTCTGTTTTTCCTAAAAGAAATTATTTATAGGAGAGTTAAATTATGAGTGAATGTTTTGTTGCCGCAGGCGTGATGGGGCATGCATTAGCACGTAGTAAATATACGATACAGAGGTTCGACTCAGCCAAAAACCCATAACCGCTGCCACGCCATGATTCGCCATCGATTATGCACTCGCCATGTTCCGGTTGAGAAGGTTGAAAAACACAATATATTAGTTGAATATTGTCATAGATATCTTATATATACACTAGATAGCGCATCTCTTTTAGTAAAATTGAAGCCAACAATATTCCAGCGGTTACCCCCATTTGAATAGATGGCGGCCATGTTGGTCGTTCCCACTTGCTAATAAACGCTTAAAAACAACAATAATTTTCATCATTTCAATATTTTAGAAACGAATTTGGATTAGGGTTAACTTAATGTTTAAGTTAACTGTTTAAGAAATAGAAAATATACGAATCTTCTAATTTCATGTGAACGACCTGAGACTGCAATCACGGCTTCAATTTTTGAATTTCAGAATAATTAGATGCACTATCTAGTGTATATAAGATATCTATGAATATTGTCAATTTAATTATAAATGCATACACGTTATGCTCACACTATGACACTTGCTAGCAAAATGGCGTCCTGAAAAACACGAACTTTTGCACTTTATTGCGGCATTTTTGGATCGACATTTTTGGATTAAATAATCCATGTTGAATGTTTAAAGTTGTTGAAATGGTGTTTAAAGCATTTTTGGAAAGCAAGACGTATTACCAAATGACAAATTATAACACGAGCGACACTTGCTGGGAAGATGGCGGACAACTTTTTACTGAACTTACACATCTGTTCAGAATTAATCTATGGCCAGGCCGAATAAACTAAACGCATGATTGCTGGCGGAGGAATACATGTATTCTCTGAGTGCCCTCTAGTTCTTTTCTAATAACACATTCGTTTTCTACCTGAAAGATCATTCCATTCTGTCCCGGCACAATTCTGTACAGTGACTCCCTGACGAAAGCCAACAGTGTTGTCAGGCCGTACTGCCCAGCACCCGTAATCACCACACGATACATGCTTAGCCGTGCCGTATACGTTAACCCAACTGGTACCAGACAGTGTCTGTTGGGTGATACCAGCCCGACAGTAGATCTGGTTTTCTCGAGTGACACCATACACCACACCGGAACTGCCCGAGTCGATTTGAACCAGTTTTTGAGATGGGGATGAAACGAGCGTCCAACCTGTTCCAAAGGGGTTCTGAGTGTCTATACCTTGACATAATAAAAAAAACTTTATTAATATAACTTTTTCTTGTATACAAGATCTATATAATCACTTCTTGAGAACTTACAACTAGCGAATATTAATATTTACAAGAAATAGGTAGTTTTAACGTTCACTATAGTTCAGGATTTGTCCATTCTTTATTTGTACAACAAATGAATGAATTTTAAATTAACCATGTTTCTATATAACCATGTTGATAGCATTTCTAAGTAAAGACTGTAGTCCCCCAAAAAATATAGCTGAACTCCTCCACGGGAATCGAACCTGCATGCACGCATGTGTCTCCAGATTGCCGGTTGCCGCTTGTTTTACTACTAGACTGCATGTAGGCTAGGGTTTGGGGCAGCAATGTGGTGTTAACTAGAGACCTGGTTTCACCCCTATATGCGTCCTTTTCATATATATACTTAAGCTGCGGATTGAGAGAGATACAACTACTAGAAACATGAGAAGCGAAGGCCCTTCGTTGGGAAGTGATATAGGGCCAAAAAAATATGTGGGTTTCCGGTTTCCCGACCCTACCTAGCTTTTGGACGTCGAAATCCCGACTCTAAACTTTTTTATTGGATCATGCTTGTAAGTGTTTCCACTTTAGAGGAAAACGTTTGTTTAAAATTGAAATTTGAGGCAATATTAGGGAAATTTATCTTTGGATGTGGAAGTACTGACTAACCACAATGGCGTCCGGTTGTTAGGAAAAAAGTTAAAACCGACCTACCCTACCTAATTTTTTATAAGAAGAAATAGGAAACCCACATATTTTTTTGGCCTAGCAGATGAGTTATGACTGTTTAAAAATATACATCCTGATATCAGAAGAAGAAAATCGCAGCCAAAATTGCAAGCATAAAAGGGTCTTTACTGTGGCGTAGCCAGCTCCAAACCAGTGTGTGTGTGTATGGGGGGGGGGTCTAATTGTCCGGCCTGTGGAGGCATGGTCTCCCGGAAATTTGTTTCTATTTTTAGGGTCGAAATGCTATTTCATGTATTTTAAACACGTTTTATGATAATCTGAAATCCACAGACTTGGTATATTTTATGTCATAGATGAAATTACAGAATTACAAAATTGGTCCTGAAGAAAAATGGGGCTACACCTCTGGGCCTTTGTCTTGCAATTTACCTTTTCTAACAAAAACATCATTAAGTACATCCAAAGCCCAGACACCTGCTTTGCCAACTGAGACATAATTCATCTTATCTGGACCTAACGTTTGCCACATATCATTGCGTAAAACCCACACTTTCTGGTCGTCTGTCACTCCCCATGTTTCATTTCCACTCTCGACCTGTTTCATCACGCCAGACAGCATGGCTGGCGAATCTTTGATGAAAACTCTGCTCATGTTCTCTGAAAGAAACAAGATTTTACGATATCTGCTAGATGTCGCACACAGATTTACGTAACAATACAGTAAAATCCCGCGTATGAGAACCTACTATTTTCCAGGTCAGGGTGAATAGGTTCTTTCATATGTGATTAGAATATTAAGTTGAATTTCGTCACTCTAATATGTCTGCACTTTATAAAAATCAGGTACATGCAGGATAAAAACTAAGAAGCGAGAGTTTGCATGAGAGTTTTCTCAACTCCCATGCCCCAGTCAAACGAGAACAAGAGTTGCATTAGAGAGAGTTGATGAGAGTTGAGAAGCGAGAGTTTGCATGAGAGTTTTCTCAACTCCCATGCCCAGGTCAAACGAAAACAAGAGTTGCATGAGAGTTGATGAGAGTTGAGAAGCGGAAGTTTGCATCAGAGTTTTCCCCACTCTCATGTCCCGGTGAAACGAGAACAAGAGTTGCGTGAGAGTTGATGAGAGTTGAGAAGCGAGAGTTTGCACAAGAGTTTTGTCACCTCTCATGGCCCGGTCAAACGAGAACAAGAGTTGCATGAGAGTGATAAGAATTGAGAAGCGAGAGTTTCACGAGAGTTTTCTCAATTCTCATGGCCCGGTCAAACGAGAACAAGAGTTGCGTGAGAGTTGATGAGAGTTGAGAAGCAAGAGTTTGCAGGAGAGTTTTCTCACCTCTCATGGCCCAGTCAAACGAAAACAAGAGTTGCATGAGAGTGATGAGAATTGAGAAGCGAGAGTTTCACGAGAGTTTTCTCAATTCTCATGACCCGGTCAAACGAGAACAAGAGTTGCATGAGAGTTGATAAGAGTTGAGAAGCAAGAGTTTGCACGAGAGTTTTCTCACCTCTCATGGCCCGGTCAAACGAGAACAAGAGTTGCATGAGAGTTGATGAGAGTTGAGAAGCGAGAGCTTCATGAGAGTTTTCTCACCTCTCATGGCCCGGTCAAACGAGAACAAGAGTTGCATGAGAGTTGGTAAGAGTTGACTGGATATTCAGTACCACCATCATTTTATCAACTCTCGTTAAAATTTGAACCAGTTCAAATTAAGTCAATGAGAATTGATGAAAGTCGATAAGAGTTGGCGGTTAAACGCGAGCGACCGGGGCCTAACACTCACATAAACATGCATTAATTAGTTCTATAAAAATGGGTGTCTAAATGGAAAATTTCAGGCTGTAGGTTCTTAACCTGCTAGGTTCTTACATACGGGATTTTACTGCATTCTCATGCAGGCCCCAGTTACACGATACCGGATTCGCATCGGAGCGACATCAAATTTTACAGTTTCAAGGGGAGTTTAGCACTCAAAATTATAATAATATAACAGAATTAATACATATAATTGGTCAAAAACTTCAAATAGGAAAAGTTGTAAGAAGCCGAAAAGCGTCGCTGGAGCGTGTTTGGGAGGGAAGCGGAAGTAGAGAGCCTGGCTTGCGAGTTTGAAAAGTGTCTTAGTTGATGTCGCTCGACTCGCTCCGACGCGAATCCGGTATCGCGTAACTGCATGGGGGCCTCAGTTCTCGCAATTTTAATAACTCGTGGTATAGACAAAAAAATGTTGTCGATATTTTACCACAGCCTGGCCGCAAACGTTAGAACAATTGCACACCTTCCTATCTAACATACTAATTGTCTAAGATGGATGAAATGCATGACTATACAACGTGAGAGGCAGTAAGTTAAATTTCTCAAAACCAAATACCATTTTTTAAAACATACTCTTCCCTATAGTGCATGGAGCAGTTGACAGTTGCTTATAGTGCATGAAGTTGTAGTACATGGAGCACTTGCTTATAGTGCATGGAGCAGTTGACAGTTGCTTATAGTGCATGGAGTTGTAGTACATGTAGCACTTGCTTATAGTGCATGGAGCAATTGACAGTTGCTTATAGTGCATGAAGTAGTAGTACATGGAGCACTTGCTTATAGTGCATGGAGCAGTTGACTGTTGTTTATAGTGCATGGAGAAGTAGTACATGTTGCACTTGCTTATAGTGCATGGAGCAATTGACAGTTGCTTATAGTGCATGAAGTAGTAGTACATGGAGCACTTGCTTATAGTGCATGGAGCAGTTGACTGTTGTTTATAGTGCATGAAGTAGTAGTACATGGAGCACTTGCTTATAGTGCATGGAGCAGTTGATAGTTGCTTATAGTGCATGAAGTAGTAGTACATGGAGCACTTGCTTATAGTGCATGGAGCAGTTGACTGTTGTTTATAGTGCATGGAGAGTAGTACATGGAGCACTTGCTTATAGTGCATGGTGCAGTTGATAGTTGCTTATAGTGCATGGAGTAGTAGTAGTACATGGAGCAATTGCTTATAGTGCATGGAGTTGTAGTACATGGAGCACTTGCTTGTAGTGCATGGAGCAGTTGACTGTTGCAAATAGTGCATGGAGTAGTAGTACATGGAGCACTTGCTCATAGTGCATGGAGCAGTTGATAGTTGCTTATAGTGCATGGAGCAGTTGGCAGTTGCTTATAGTGCGTGGAGTAGAAGTACATGGAACACTTGCTCATAGTGCATGGAGCAGTTGATAGTTGCTTATAGTGCATGGAGCAGTTGACAGTTGCTTATAGTGCTTGGAGTAGTAGTACATGGAACACTTGCTTATAGTGCATGGAGCAGTTGACTGTTGCTTATAGTGCATGGAGTAGCAGTACATGGAGCACTTGCTTATAGTGCATGGAGCAGTTGACTGTTGCAAATAGTGCATGGAGTAGTAGTACATGGAACACTTGCTTATAGTGCATGGAGCAGTTGACTGTTGCAAATAGTGCATGGAGTAGTAGTACATGGAACACTTGCTTGTAGTGCATGGAGCAGTTGACTGTTGCAAATAGTGCATGGAGTAGTAGTACATGGAACACTTGCTTATAGTGCATGGAGCAGTTGAGACCTACAGAATACTTGTAAGTTTCATACATAGATATCTTATACACACTAGAGAGTGCATCTCTTTTAGGAAAATTGAAGCCAAGAATATTCCAACGGTTACCCCCATTTGAATAGATGGCGGCGCATGTTGGTCGTTCCCACTTGCTAATAAAGGCTTAAAAACAACAATAACTTTCATCATTTGAATAGTTTAAAAATGTATTTGGAATAGGGTTAACTTAATGTTTAAGTTCCCTGTTTAAGAAATAGAAAACATACGAATCTTCTCATTTCATGGGAACGACCTGAGACTGCAATCACGGCTTCAATTTTTGAGTTGCAGAATAATTAGATGCACTATCTAGTGTATATAAGATATCTATTGTTTCATAGCATATTTTTCGTATACTCTTTAGGGTAAGTGACAGGGGGGAGACAAAAAGTCGTTTATGGGTATGTGCATATCACCCGTAGCCATAAACGGTACCAGAGTATCTTAACTTCTCTAGACATTTTCTTGCAACGCAGTCGAAGCGCGCCGAACAAATTTCGGAACGCATTCGTAATTGGAACGCGGGCACTTTAGACGCGAATACTTACGGTGGGGACACATGCAATGGTATGAACCAAATCCATCTGGACAACCACATTCGCACGTTGAAGGACGACACACTTTATTGTTGGTACAAGGTTCTTCACAGCACGTTGGTGCTTCCTAAGTAAAGTAGACATAGAATAAACAATTTGCTGCTTAAACTATATCGCGCGGACAATAAAAAATGAGGTGCTTAAAATTTATGGTGAATGCATGGTTGTTGTGAAAACTTGGCTGTATGGGCGTACAAATGCACATAGCAAAATACATTTATTACGTGGAAATTAGTTTAAATACAAGTTTTTTAAAGAATTAATACCGAAACAACAGCGAAAAAACATGTTCATTGAGAATATAAATTGTTTAGAAAAGTTTGCAATGAACGACAAATGAATTTGCAGTCAACAAGCACTTACTATAGTACCAAACATCTGTATAATATATCCGAGCTCTCCTGTGAGATATAGAGGTTCTAAAACCATTTCTTTCGCTTCGTCTTCGAGTTGTAAAGCAAAAGTATTGTACAAATTGTCAACACTTTGTAACACATTGTAACAGTGAATAATTAATTACTGCTTCAGTTAATGGCTATATTAGACTATATTATAAAACAATTATACCATTCGCTCTCGTCGTATATGGCTGATATTCAGCTCATATACGACTCGAGCTCATGGTATAATTGTTAATTATACCATGAATTCGAGTCGTATATGAGCTAATTTGATTAATTCGAGTAGACGGTTGTAGATTACTTTATGTGTTACGATTGTTCGGCAAAGTAAGCTAAAAATTCATCAATAAAGATTTCATTATTAGTATTAGTATTTAATATATTAGCCATTTCAACATATACATATTACAACATATTTTGCATAGGCAAATTCTAAGTTTTGAAGGATTGGTAAGAAATATTTGAAGGAACCAACTTGGTGTTTAATAATGAATCGGTTCCCTTAAAATGTTTTTACCGAATCTTTTGAAACTTAGAATTCACCTATGCAAAATTCCTACTGTGATCACAGAATCTTTGATAGTGTACGTAAACTAGCGTTGAGAATCATACAGCTAATCAATCAATCAAACTTTATTTATCCGCGGCACTATTTCACAAAGACAAAAACGAAATATTTACAAGATGTGATCTTCCAATAGGTCGTGCTATGTATGATTAATTACATGCAATTTTAAAAAGAATTTATTAAGTTAATACAATAAGATCGAAGAGAAGAAAGGAAAAAAACTGATTATCAAGAATTATTACCACTATTTGTCACTAGAGCGCTTTTGAGAGTTGACTATGAACCCAAATTTTAATGTTAGGTAATAAATCATTCCAAGCTACAACTCGTCTGTACGAAAACGATATTTTACAAAAGTTGGAATTTAGCCTCGGGAGTGCCAAGCTAAATTCAGCCTGCTTAGTTTCATGATTAGAAGTGTACTGGTTTTCGTGAATAAATCAATTAGGTAATCAGGCACCATATTATGTGTACCTGATACATGGTAGTATACATAATTGATTATTTCTTCTGAGACTTAGATTAGGTAAGTCTAATTCTTTAAGTATATCGGCAAACCTAAATTCATACCCTGCACGCTTTTTAATTATACTGATTTCTGCATTAAAATCTATCCTGGAGCTGATGCCTGTCTCATTCAAAAAGTTCAAACAAAACTATATTCTCACTGGGAGTTTTCTCTCACAATACCATATAATTTAAATATTTATGCATGAGATGATTAGGGACCGGTCATAAAGTAATTACTAGAGGGGGGTGGAGGATAAATGAAATTTTAAGTACATATTTCCATACCCTCCCAAAAACCTATGGAAAAGTTTTCGTAACCCCCTTCAATGTAAGTGAAAATTTTCATGCCCCCCTTTCAATCATTAACAGGTTCTAATGGTGTGAGCTTGCTAGCATTGTCATTGACAATTCAGATGTATCAGATTTGTACTCCAAAAGTTCCACGGATTCTGAATCCTACTTATCATCTGACATTGAGTCAGACTGAAACATATATACTTTGTGTTGATTTGATAATAATTATAGTAAAACAATTCTTTCCAAACTTAAATCTGGGCACAAAACATTCAATATTCAACAATAATTATAAAATGTAATTTTTTTCCGCACCTGTAATACTAAGATTTTGGTACCCCCCTAGAGGTTCTGGGTTTTTTTGTACCCCCAAAAAATATCCTCCACACCCTCTAGTAAATACTTTATGACCGGTCCCTTAGTTGGTCATCCATATACACCACGTGATTGTCAGACAGTAACACAAAATCAGTATTTTTGAGCCGCCACCGAAAATGAAGGACAGTGAAATGTTTTAGGAAATGTTTTAGGAGCCACCCAACTCCCTACCCCAATTTTAATATTCCAATATTATAATATTGATAGTATTCCCAAAGGTCGAGGGTTCGATTCCCACCGCGGTCAGGCAAACTTTTCAGCGTAACATCAGAAACATATACCCGAGTACATAACATAAAAACCGCACACACAAAAAATATCATGTTTATTAAATATTATTCATTGTGGTTGCACGTTTCATATACACGGTGTCCTCCAAAAAAGTACCCTCTATAGAAAATATCCTATTGTTGCTAAGCACAGGATTTTATGCGCCTGGTAATTAAAAATTCAATTCAATTGTGTACGCGCTCTTGTGTTCAGCATAGTGCTTATATAGCATTCAAATTATACCAATAGGATAATTTCTATAGAGGGTACTTTACTTTTGGGACACCCTGTGCAGGGCTGCAAATAAATATTTGACTCGACAGAACATTTGTCCGATCACTTTTAATTTTCGTCGGACATAACTTGAATTTGGTCGGACATATATACGTTGCACAAGATATATAGGTATATATAAGTCACGAGACAAGTATGTATAGCCATTCCGGCGCAACGTTAAGTAAAATGCTAGAATGCCTCGTAAGTTATTGCAAAGTGTAAATTGAGTGAATTTGCAATCGGATTTTGTCAAAGCAAAAAAATGTATAATGTGACAATATATTTTTTTGATCTGACCAATGTCCGATCAAAATTACTTTTGCTCGGACATTTGCCAAATTTAGTCGGACATTGTCCGATGTCCGACAGTAATTTGCAGCCCTGCTGTGCAAAAATACAATGAGCTCCATTACTTACCGTGACCGTGCACAAATTAAAGCCGGTTTCCCACTTCGCCCGTATCGTACCGAAACGTACTGGTGAGCATGCGCAGATTGAAAAGAGGTTTATAAATCCACGTACTTCCAACACCGCGGAAAAACGTCTGCGCATGCACCAAATTATGAAAATATGGCGGGGAATTTGAATATCAATTTCTAAACCAAAAACATGCTTATTAATTGGTAAAAAATTAGTAAAACAAACGAGAAAATATAGCAAATGGGTAGACTAGACATTAATTGAAAGCGTCCTGGCATTTAAAGTATGGAATGAAATAGAATTCATGTAAAAAAATTGTTGATTTTAACGGACCCGACTTCGAAAACTTTTGCAAAATTATTCAAAACAAAAATTCAAACTCAAAAGTTAAGAAAACTCTCGAAAAGTTAAGCTTCTTAACCCACTCAAATTGTAGAATAAATCCTAAAGTTTAATTATTGTGAACACGAAAATTTTTTATATTTGGCGACACAGTTTTTTTAAAGAAATGTATCTCAAACGAAAATTCGGAAATTGTCGTTGCTTAGTTGATAAACAAAATGTTTCAGACGATAAATTTGTCAACAATCACCTTTAGTTCATGTTCTTGTACAATACAACTTCTTGAACCTTCTGGCTGTATTTATTCTTAGTTTTTAGAATGACATGTTTATTTTTGCGCTCGAAATCTGGCTGTAAAGACGCACAATGAAGTCACTCCTTTTTACCGCCATTTTGAGCCTTCGGAACAGCTTCTCATCAAGTTCGCAATACTATTACAGGTAAGGTTGACGCATGCGCAGACGTTTTTCCGCGGTGTTCGTACTTCCGGGTGTATTCGCGTATCAATTAAAATAAAAAGTTCGTCGCAAGTCAACTTTTTGGCGTACTATACGGAAACATGAACCAATCAACATTCACAAAATTTTGAAATTTAAAAACGTTTTTGATACGTTTCGGTACGGTACGCTTTGAAGTGGAAAACCGGCTTAACATAAACTCGGACAAAAACATAACACGATGACTTCTGCATGTTTAGTTTCCAGACCATCATATCTTGATAGACTATGAAGTCA